CAGCTCCCCGGCCCCGCGTCGCTCCCGCCCGGCCCTGCCCCCGCCACGGGCCAGGCCGCCGAGAGGGCGAGGGCCCGGCGCAGCCGCCGGGGAAGGGAAGGGTGGGAGCCGCCCAGCTTATGCAACAAACGAGAGAGGAAAAGAGTCACCTTGACCGCCATGCTGAGCCGGGGAGCGAGCGGGAAGGAGGAGGAGCTGCCCGGCGCCGCCGCAGCAGCCGCCGCCTCAGCTCGGCCCCATGCTAATGAGCCCCCGCCCTGCCCTGCCCGCCGCCTGCACGGGCCGCCCCGCTCCCATCAGCCCGGGCCCGGGGCCAGCAGAGCGGTCAGGGTCAGGGACCTGCCCGGAGCCCGTCGCTGCTGCCTCTGCGGGTCTCCATCCTCTGCCCCGAGCCCCGGTCGCGCCCCGCAGGCCGAGGGTGCCCGCTGCTTGCACCGCCCGCGGGCATTCAGCGTGGGCGAGGGGGAGAAGCCGGAGCGCAGGTCCGAGTCCTGACTTAGCGAGTCCCGAGAACCTGCGTTTTGTCTGTCAAATGGGTGCAAGGCTGTCGTGTTGCATGAACTGCACTTGTGGCTTTAAGAGCCTCCCTAAGGGCACGAGAAGAAAAAGAAAACTGAAGGAATGCACGGGCCACTCGTGGTCGAGAACAGGCATCAAAAGTACTGTACTTGGAAACCAAGTCAGGATCTGCTCTCAGGAAGCAACAGACTGAGAACAAGGCACATTTTATCTGGTCAGACAGTCACTGCAAAAGGCCCAACAAGATCCCTTTTGTCTTGTGCGCCACAGTCAAGCACGTGTCAGTGGCAATAGTCCTTTGATGCAAGGAGGAGAGTACAGCTTGTGTGGGACACTGCCCCTACTGTCTCAGATTACAGGCTATAGGAGTTGAGGATTTTCAGGCCTGCCAAGACAAGATAAGCTTTGTGTTTTATGCAGTGATATAATTATTTATTCTTAGTAGACTTCAGCTTTGTTAACTACAATTCAGTGAACAGGCCCTGCAGACCACTGGCGATTCACTTCAGAAACATAGAAAGCCTGGATGCTATTGCTGTGTTGCATGTATCTACTTACAGGCTGGCAGCAGAGATGATCTCTCCAAAAGTGACCCAGTGCTCTCCAAGCAGCAGTGCTGAGGTACCTGGAGATCTACCTGGGGACACCATCAAACATGTCTCTACCCAGACTAGCAAATGAGAGAGACATATTTTAGCTTGATCTCCTAAACACACTGCTTAGGTAGGAAGGTAGTATGCTTTTTATTTCAAGTCCCCTTTTGCAAAGGGTTAATCTTGGAGCTTTACTGTGGCAACCAGGTGGCTTAAGTTGGTCCTTTTCCATAGCATTCAAAGTATTCTTGCAGCTGCCTAAAGTGTGAGGGGTTTTGGTTTTTTATACCAGCAGAGTCACTGATGCTCTGTTACTTCCGATGGGATATTTGAGACCTCCCTTTTGGATATCAGCAACTTCAGGCTCTTATCCAAGCAGTCGCTATAATTAGTTGAAAAGCCACGGAGAAACCTGGGGCAGAAGTAGACTGTTTTCTAGGAAGAGGATCCGACACCTTCACCGGGACTTTCTACAGGTCCAATTCTGCTCCCTCACTTGGTGGGCACCAGGACCAGCTCCGCAGGAGTCCGTAGGGCCACGCTGGCAGTAGGAAAGGCAGGCCCAGCCCAGCCCAGCCCAGCCCAGCGTCCTCATTTGGCTGCCACGGCACTGTTCAAGGCTTTAGGAACCTCCGGCCGAAGCTCAGGCCCCGCTGTTGGACGCCCCACGGGGGGCGGCCCAGGCTGTCCCGCCACTGTAAGGACCTGGGGAGTGTCCTAGTGCACGAGCGTGGGGGGCAGTGGGGCAGGCCACCCCCCTGCGAGCGGCTCCCACCTGGCCCTGCGCTGCGCCCCCCTGCAACCGACTCACGGGTTATTTCAGACACGCGAGAAGGGAGACACAAGGGGCTCCGTTTTCGGCCGGAGCGAAGCTGTTCCCATTCTCCACCCGGCCCCAGGCTCAGCACCAGCTGCTGCCACCCGCCCACGCAGCCGAGCAAGCGGAGCCCCCAGCGGCCCCCAGTCACTGCACCCGCTCCAAGGGAGGTACGGCAGCCACGTGGCCACACCCCGCTGCCGCGCGCGGGAACTACACCAGCGACAGTGAGACAACGTCATGCACATCTTCCCCTGCACTCCTTAAACGCGTCACGCACAGCAGCCTCGCAAGGAGAGAACTGGAGCATGCGCACTAATACTAGCGCCTGGAAAGCTCCTTTTCCCTTACTGTCGCCCGCCCACCGGAAGCGGAAGCGTTTGTTTGTGCTCTCACTTCCGGTGTGTGGGCGCGCGGGCTGATTCGTTCTGTCCGGGTGATTTGGCACCCGCCGCTGCTCGGAAATGGCGGGGAAGTTGTAG